GGGGGGAATTAACGACTGCTAGAAAGAATTAATACCCAGTGAATTGAGATATCAGTTGTTAAAGGATAATTTTTCAAGAATAAAATCAAGACACTCATACAGATATGAATGAAAAAGTGCCAAAGATTTTACAAAACTCTTTCATTAGTGAGGAAACCAGTAAGATATTACAACCTAATAGATTAAAGGGAAAATCTGAAGAACAGACCTGTATACAGGCAGTCGGGAATGAGACGATGAAATCGCTGAACTTCGCAGGCCAGTAAGATGTGAGGCTAGAATCTTCTTTTCCACAAGGGAAAATCAAATGTATCCCTACAACACAACTCATTTACACCCCTGTGGACAAGAATGATTTGCATTATTATCACTTTGTAAAACAGTTCTAAAGTAGCCCAGTCAAAGGCAGTGGAAGGCACAGACCCCAGTAAAATCACATAAGCCCCAGAGGTCCTCTAGCAACGCCTAGCTTTCCTCTGAAAAGATGCCCAGTAATCTTTACCCATTTCAAAGTCTTTCACAATTTTTCTGACAAATTCATAAATAAAGACTTATCAAACACAGCAACTAGGCGAAGTGATTTCTTGAACAGAACAGTCATGATGTTCAGAGAGGGTCGCTGTTAACCAGTTACCACTCTCCTACCTTACCTCCCACTTTCCCTGAGTTAATCTGTTTCAGGGTGTAATCATGGAAGATTTGGTGCTGGAGTGATGTAGAAAACTAATATTGTATCCAGCAAAGTTTGGCTTAAGAAAACTGAGTAATTATTTGTCATACCTCTGTTGACAGGTGGTTTACCCCTGACACTTTCAAACCACCTGCAAAAAGTTGATTTCTTATGCCCCTGTTGCCGCAACATAGTCTCAAAATCAGGCAAACTAAGGGTGGTTTCTCAGCATGCTTTATATTTTTTAAATTCACTGACATTTGCTATATCCGACAGTTTATCGGTGTAGACAGCTCGCTCTCTCTTCCTCCCTGTTTTAATGCCAGAGCCCATGATTGACCTGTAAGATGTGACCCTTGAAGTAAGTTTCCCATCACTGACCCCAGTATCTCGTCCTGGCTCCAGGCTCCAGACACGCTTGGGACAGTGTTGTAGCCTGCTGGCTCAAAGCTTCACTTGGGACAGTCATTACCTGTTCCCTTGCAGGCTTTTGCGTCTTCTTTTCATCTTTTCATACCAGGAGCCAGAAAATTTCAGGATCACAGTGTTAGAGCCTCCAGAAGGTTCCCCTGGCTCAGGTGCAAGGGCTCATGCCCACCAGTAGCTGAATAGCAAAGTCCGTGCCCATAGGATTATTATCCAAACGGAAGTGAACATAAAGTATTGAAAATTCAAATAGCAGCGTAGGAGCAGCCTACTGGAAATAATTCTCCAGGGAAAGTGCATTGAGATACTATCCCTTTCACCAAATTGGAAAATATTAAAACAAAGTAAAATGCCCAGTGCCAACGAGGGTGTGGTTGATGAGTGTTTATAATAGTGAAGACATTTGGGAAATTAAGTGGCTTCGTGATCTTGAGCCTTAGGATTCTCTACCTCTTGATCCACCACGTCCTCTTCTGGGGATAATTCAAAATACACTGAAAAGTTAATGCATAAGAAGATATGTTTCAGTATTATGCGCAGTAATAAAAAATTGAAAGCACCTTAAATTCAGCCACAAAGATTGAGAATAGTCGTTTGAGCATATTTTGAAATAAGATGTGGATATTTAAATAATGATTATAAAGAGCTTAAAAAACACAGGAAAATTTATGATAATGGTATTTTTAAAATAGTTTTTACTGTGGGAAAATATCAAAAAGGTAAAAAAGTAGAGAGACTAGCATGATGAATCCTCATCTACCCATCATCCTGCTTAATAATTATCAATAGTGACTTCGGCTTATCTACCCAATTTACTTTCCTACCCAGATCATTTGAACCCACCCTCAGACACTATCATTTCCTATGAAAATGTTTCAGCATGTATCTCTAAGAGATAATCATGCGTCTAAAAAGCAAAACCATTTGCCACCTAAAAAATTAATAATATGCCCATCATAAAATAGAGTATTTGAAAATACCAACGATATTCCAAACAAATTCTCCCAAGCGTTACCTTTCTTTCATCAGTTCCTTTGATCTTGTACAACTCAGTCAGCAGTCCGAGTTCACAAAGTTATCAGCTTCCAAACCAGAAAAATAAGTCTTGCCAATCCTGCCTCAGTATCCTGGTGCAGTTTGAAAGGTGTCTGAGGGCTGTCAACTCAGAAGCCTGTATTCTGAGTCCATTCTTTGGTGTATCGATAGTTAGAGGAGGAGTACCCAGGGCAGTCTTTTCCCCAGTGCGCTAAGACTTTTTGTTGAAGATCCGATCTCTGGCTTATAACGGATAGCAGAGCCTTCAGGCAAGCGTGAGAGAAAAGCAGAATGGGTCCTTAAGACTGTGACTAACTGATTACAGTGACCTGCAGTGTCAGGAGGGAGCAGAACAAAGTTGTCTAATGCATGCGTGTTTCATAAGGGTTTGATCAGTGTTTTTCCTGAGGCTAAGAACAAGTCGTGGACATCAAGGACAGTGCCAGACCTTAAGGACCTCCCTGTAAAATGTACAGTTTCTGAACTATTTATATGAATAACATTTTTCCTCTACAGACTTGACTTAGGGAAGGCTGAGCATCTATTCTGATTAGACAGCACTCCTCATGCTACTCTTAGAATAGTATCGTGCTTATTAAAAAGTATTGGGTTACCCAACAAACTTAATTATTTCTAACATTCGCTTTTTTCTAATAAGGTGTGAGAACAAATCTTTGTGATTTTTTCATTAGTTCTTTTGGAATTTCCAAGGTAGTTTTAGGTGTAAAGACAATCTAAGAATTTTATTTTTTTTCTGAATTTAAGGTCTGCTTTCAGGAAGGCAAAAGCAACCAACATATTTAATAGAGGAGATAAACTCTATGATTAAGATAGGATTATGGTGCTTGAGAAAAAACTTGATTTACCTATTAAAACAATAATGCAATATTTAAAAATAGACACAGAAGTAGGTAAAACAACCTTAAGGAATCTTAGCTCTCTCAGATGTGAGAAGACTATTCTTAAGAAAATCAGACATGATAAAATCAATAACACAAAGTACAGAAAATTATTCTGGTAATTACATATACACCCCTGCTATCTGGACACAAAAGGTAAATAATAGTTGCTTATTACCCTTTGCTCAGAGCTCTAAGTCCAGTTTATCATTCTAGTAGAGAGCAAGCCAAATTCTCTTTTTGCATTAGTTCAATATTTGGCAATAAAGAATTCCAAGTTCCTTTTAAAAATTTTTTTGAATAAGCCCATCAAAACTGAAGGAACTTTGCCAAAATTTTAACATATCGTATCGCTTCTTTTCAGACAACCACGACTTCAGTAAACGGTCTACAATTTTCGGTATCTGTTCAACTTTTGCCTTTCCCTATCATGTCCCATGATCCAGAACAGACATTTTCCTTTAGAACAAAACTACTCACTTTTTCTTTGAAAAAACAAAACAAATTCCTTTCCTTTGCAAACATTGTTGTTCTCTATATTATTGCTTACACCATTCACTGCCGTTCCTAATATGGTGTTGGGAGAATCAACAAAATAACTTTCTTTCCATTTTCTAAGTTCTTCCAGCTGGCCTACTAAATTAATATCAGTCAAATTAATAAGAGAAGTAGGCAGGAGTCTGGGATTTCTAAGGGAAAAGTAGGCAATTTACAGGTAAATGAGAAAGAGCAAACATGTGGCAAACAAATTTTTTCTGGGCCACCCAGAAACAATGGGACACAGAGGGAAGTTCAGCAAACAGGCCTCCGAGATCTCTCCCTGTCTGCCACATTTGGTTTATATTATGATGCTAAGGTGATGCTCTCTTCCTTTAAGCAAGTTTTTCTGAATTCATTCAGGCAGGTAAAGGGGGAGGGTCAAAGGTTCTTTCTGAGTCTTTTGTTTCTTAATCACCAGCTTAAAATCAATATCCCAAAGGGCATATTTTGGATGGGAAAACTTTGGTTCCCTCAATGGCCATAATTACCCATTTAACTGTAACTTTTACATAAAGGAAACTCTGCTTCACAAAGAAAACCGGAATGTGAGTAATTTTTCATAATCCTTCATATTATTAAGTAGTAATGTTAACTTATTTCATCAATAAACTCCTATAGGAAGTTGTGGAAACTCAGAAAACTAATTTAGACCTTCTAAAATAGAAAATGTACAAATATATTATGCTTACTACTAAAATCGTGGAAAAAAGATATAGATTTTTTTCCTTAAGCCAAATTATTAACTAGTCTGATTTATCCTAAGATTCACCTTGTGTGAATTTAGATTATTATGTATCACATATTATGCATACATACTTAGATTACCATATAAAGTGCTTCTGAGTTTGCACTTTCTAAAAGAATTTTTTTATCAAAGACCAAAACATTTAGAGTATTAAAAATTTAATTTTTTAATTCTCAGGAATTCTGGAAATATTAGATTTATGTAAGCATAGTATAAGTATAAATAATTGACTTTATAAGTCAATTGGAAGAGAATTTCTTTAAAAGAACTTTTAATTTATTAATATCCTCCAGAGGTAAGAAAATATTTCACATACATAATGAGAGATAAAAGCTTTTCTCAACTGCAGAGAAATGCCTGGCTTTAGCTCTATAACCTCAGCCGCAGGTCACAAGTCAAAACAGAAACAAAAAACTCACCAGTCCAGTTCTCGAAGGGCTGTTTTCCTTTCCGGTCAACATGAAATATTTTCTTAATTAATTTGAGCTCACAAGTAGACAAATAGATAAACAAAAAGACTGACAAATTGGATTAGCTGTCGTTTCTCACCTGGTAGAAAATAAATCCTTAACCACTTAACAGAGATAAACAGAGATCATAAAACCAAATTCCCCATAATAATTAGCCAAGTGCACTCACACACTCACGTACCCACACCCACAGTCATCTTTTAACCATGGAGTCGAACCCTGCCTAGCCATCCTGGGTCTGGCTGTAGAACAGAACACCGCCCAAACTAAAAGTTTTAGAAGGACGCTCTCTAGATTATGCAATTGAGATGGATCTGGTGGTTAGAAACAATACATGGACTTACTAGTGCCTGGACCCAGTTGTGAAGAGACACATTGGTTCGGATATGCCAGCTGTCTCCAAAACAAGCCCTAATGTGTAGCATTTGCCTATTTCTGTGGTGTAAATATCTCCATAATTGTTCCCAGTCTACCGACACATGCTACAAAGGCAGAATTGAGGAAAAAAAAGATGCCTGTGTTGGTTCTCACAAACCAGTATGATCTGTTCCAGGACACAACTGTACTTGAACTCTAAGTTAATCGAAACAGACAGACTAGTAGACTTGGCCAAGAACAGAAACAAAAACAGAAACACAAAATCAGAAAAAAAAGAAAGAAAACCTTTAGAAACGCAGGGTTAGTCATTTCAGATTCACTCTGGGAGACAAAAAAAACCATGCCTGGGTTTAATCAGACTGCGAGGCAAACTTCTTAGGCCTTGTAGGTTAGTGGCACCAGCAGGTGAATTCATTTGAATGTGTCATTGGATCTCCCAAAGTGGCCCCAGTACTCAGTCCTCCATAAGACGGCTTGCTGTATTTGTGAACAAGTCTCTCATAGCTAGGAAGCTTTTATTTACACTCATACAAGAATCTGTTTCCCTATAATATAACTAGAGGGCTTAGTTGTACCTTTAGGAAATGCACAAAATATATCTAATCCTTCCTTTATTCAATAAACTTTCAATACCGAGGACAGTTGTCTTTGGATTTTAGAGCTATTCCAACTCATTTATTTTACAAATAAAGAAACTGAGACCTAGAAAGGTTAATGACGTTCCTCAATTCATACAGCACTGTGATTTGTCACATTTGATAGAATCAAAAATGAAACTTAAAAAAACTGTCACAACATATCCCTCTTGACTCTTTGTTCCTTAGTTCTATTAATACCTCACCTAACATGTTCTCGAGACCTCTCATCATCTCAGCTGCCCTCTTCTTGTAGGTTTCTGGTTAGACAGTGTCACTCTAAAAGAATCTAATCAAATGCCACCGATGTCAACTGTTTAGTGCCGAGAACAATTATGTGTTCTGAAGTCAGGGTTTGTTAATATTTTATTAACCATTTGGATAACCACTTCACTTTTTAATTTATGTCTTTGTCAAATGTCATTTTCAAAAGTGAAAAACATGACTTTCATAGAAATACGTGAACTAGAATGAACACACATCAAAAATTTATTCAACTCATTAATCAGTGAAGGAAACAGATAATAAAACTTTTAAAAATAGTTGAGGAACTGAGACTTGAGCATAAAGAACTACACATTTTATTAGCAGAAAAATGGTTTCTCCCCACTTTTGCCAGATGCATGTTTAACTGCTTTTGAAGAAATGCAGGTTTGCATTGTTGCCAAATTATGAGCCACATGCCTCTTTCTAGCTCTGCTGATTGGTTCCAGTTCTAACATCTGGAGCCATGCAAAATAAGTTTAATCCAGTTTCCACATGACTGACCTTCACATACTTGGGAACAGTTACCCCATCCTCCTGCAGTCTTCTCTCCTTCGGGTTAAATAAGCGTGCCCCTCACTGGGAATGGCTTTAAGATATGTCGTTTTTGTGATCACCTTCCTGTGGACACTTTGTAGTTTGCCAGCGTGTCCGACTCCCAGTATGGAACACAACATAACAAATAGATGACACCACATTTATATCAGGCAGTCATCTTGCTCAACCTGTTTTGCCAATTCTGTGTGAACTAACAAGGTGAGTTAAAGGAAAATAAACAACCCACGTCCCTTTAATGGAGTGGATTAGTGTCTTAAACTTTCTGGAGCAATTTAGAGTTTTTACTGAGCTCACGGGCACCCAGTCAGAGTCCTGCCAAGAGATGGAAACTGAGCCAATTACTTAAAGAGGGAAGATGCAATATAAAGTGTGACAGGGTAGTGAGTTGCTTACTGGGTAACCGAGAGGGTAAAGAGGAATACTAAAGCATCACAGAGCAGCACCTCTAGGACGGTGCGACTCTCTCAGCCTGTCTCAGGTTCATACTAAGTCAGGATCGGTCCTGTAAGGATTAGTTAGGGGAAATGCCTGTGCGAAAGAAAACCCAGAGGCCAGGCAGGTTGAGAGAGCTGTCCCACCGAGATGCAGGGTAGCCTGGGTGAGAGAGAGAGGGGGCACGTTTTCTAAGGAAGTTTCCATGAAACAGCTCATGACAGCTCATGAGGCAAACTTTCAGGCTGGAGGAGCCCCAGGTCTCCCAGGTATTTGCTCCAGTGTCTGGCATGCTCAGACATCATGGGGCACTGGAGTAAAAAGAGATTTTTTTTCCTTCTCCCTTCTAGGGTCTTGGCTGGGTCTCTGTAACAAAAGGCAGACTAATAAGAAAACATACAATTTATGTAGTGTAAGCTTTGCATGACACAGAACCTTCATAAGGGAACGATGACCTGAAAAAGGGGTTAAACTTGAACACTTTCATGCTAGGCTTGATGAAGAGTGGAACGTTGTGGAAAATGTGACCGGACAAAGGGTGTAAGGTATGGGTAGTAAATGGGGAGGCGGGGGGAGGGCGGATAGCACGGCTTGTTCATTCGGATTCCTCCTGGAGAAGAGGACACACCTTTCTTCCAGGTGGGGAAGGGTGGGGGGCGGGCAGCTTCTTGCTCTGGGGAGACAGCCACAAGGTCCGTCCAACACCTGCTGTTTCTCAGATTCCTTCACCTTACGACAGTCAGTATGCCAAAGTGCCACATTTGGGGTAGCACATCCCAAACCCCATCACCATCCAGCCATGAAATCTGTAAATCTGGGGTCATGGTGAAGTCACATGGGGCTGACAGTCATTTCTCAGCATTTCATTGAGTGGGCGTGATCTCTAGTAATCTTCTACATCCATGCCAGTTACTGAATTTTTCCTTTTAATTCCAAACCCAATCTTTGATATTCTGCTCTGCATTTCCGCTTTGTCAGCGGCTCCCTGTTAGGCTCTGCCAATAGTGGGTGCTGAGGGAGACCACAAGGCTGGAGGAAGGAGAAGCGACTCGCTTCTTCCTGTTCGTTCTCTCTTCGCTTCCCCTTGGCTGCCTGTCTGCCTGTGGTCCTGTCCAGCAACACTCTTCCATCCCTGAAGCAGCAGTCCCTTCGTGGCAGCAGCTGAGTGTACTTTGCGATTCTCCAGCAACTGTGGAAGCAGCTTCATGCCCTCCTTGACACGAGCAGCAGCTGGTGGGGACCCTTTCCTTAGATATCTGAGTTTAGCTTCTCAGGATCCTCTTCCAAGTTTTGACATTTTAGTACTGCCAACCTCTTTACCTTTCTTCTAAGCCCAAGAGTGTGTGGCAGCCATGAGAATGCCCTTCACAGATCTTCAGCTATAGGGAGCATGATTAGGGTTGCTAAGTTTCACAAATAAAATACAGGATGGATGCTAGTTAAATTTGAACAACAAATAACCTTTTTTAATATAACTATTCTGTGCACTATTTTGGGGCATACTTATACAAAATTTTGTCGATCATTTACTTGAAATTCAAATTTAACTGGATGTCCTATATTTTTACTCCTCTACATTATTTTACAGAAAAATGCTAATCGCCAATGCCCAGGCATCATTTCAGGTGGATTACATTAACAAACATGACTAGAGATGGGTTTGCCTTTGTTTTCTGAAATTCTATTCTTGTAAAAACAAATGAGTTAGGATCTCCAAGCCCATGATGAAGATTGGCAGAGGGCTAGGGAAGAATACAGTCTTGTGTTATGTAGAAAATAAGGATAAACTTAAAAGACTCCAGTCAACCTCTTTGCCAAGGAAGACAGATATCACTGACCTTAGGTTGCCAATGCACTTGAATCTCTTAGGAAATGGAAGTTCTTATTAGGCATCGCAGGCAGAACATTAGGGAAGACGATATGCCATGCTTGTCTGTACCTACAGGCGATCAAACATTCTCTGAGGCACGGTCTTATTGTGAGCCCTGCATATAACCACATCTGGGGCAGGGGAGCTGACGACCTCAATCCAGAATGTAATGAGTAATCTTTGAAAGTTTTCAGGTGAAAAGGTGATATAGTCAGACCCATGTCTTAGAAGAGAATCTTGCCAGAGGGCAAATGATAAGGATTTATCAGTAGTTCACGTGAGAAGTAATGGTCCCCAAACTAAACCAGTACCTTGGAGCTAACACCAATCCAAAACTGAAGCATTTTCTCCAAGACGGAAATGGATTTCAAAGGAGATAAAGGTGTGAAGTACTTCATGAGTAAGAAGGGAATTGCGCCCCCGTTTCCCTTTTCTTGACCCTTTCGGGCATTCCCGCTCCATTCACATCCACGCATTCACATGCAAAGAATGCATATCAACCTTTCAAATGTGAGCAGATGGAAAGAAAAGTAGAGATTTGGAGCATTTTGGGTGGGATTTTTGTGATCCAAATGAATGAGAATAAAATGTAAATAGCTGGGGAAAAAAGAATTCTCCGATTGTACAATAATTGTTATTTTCATTTCAAGGGTTTCAAGAATAGAACAATATCCTCTGCTGATTGTTTCTTATATTAGTTATCTATTATTGTATAACAAATTTTCCCCAAACTTAGTTGCTTAAACAACAATAAACACTCATTATCTCTGGCAGGATGCGGGTCAGGAATTCTGGAGCAGCTTAGTTGGGTGGTACTGGTTGAGGTCCCTCCTGAGGCTAGAGCCAAGGTATTAGCTGAGGCTGCATCCTGGGAAGGCTTGGGGCTGGAGGATGCCCTTCAAGATGGCTCACACGTGCGACTTGGTTGTGGGGCAAGGGACCAGGTCTTCTGCATACAGACCTCTCCCAACACCGCTCTAATATCCTCCTGACATGGCAGCTGGCTCTCCCCCAGCAAGTGATTGGCGGGAGTGAGAGCCTGGCCTTGGACGCGTACTCTCTTGTCAGAAGCAGTTTACTAAGTCTAGCCCCCATTCAAGGGTAGGGAAGTTAGTTTCCAGCTTTTGAAAGGTGTGTTACAGATTTTGTGAGCATATTTTAAAAACACCACACTTCTTTAACTCAAAACAGGTTTTGGTATTTTGTGCTCCAAATAAAATTCCCAACTTATTAAACAGCTTCACAAAAGCAAGAGACCTGGGTTTTGAGATGCTCTGGGGTGTCTGTTTGCACGAAGCTAAGTGTTGCACAGTCATAGATGAGAAAAGTGTAATCCAAAGAGGAAACATAATCCTAAAAGTCCAAACCACAGTAGTTTCATTTCAGTTATTTTCCTTGAATTTCCATAGAAGG